AGACAGACCTCATAGAAACAGACCTCATAGAGACCGACCTCATAGAGACACACCTCATAGAGACAGACCTCATATAAACAGACCTCATAGAGACAGACCTCATAGAGACAGACCTCATAGAAACAGACCCTCATAGAAACAGACCTCATAGAGACAGACCTCATAGAGACAGACCTCATAGAGACAGACCTCATAGAGACACACCTCATAGAGACAGACCTCATAGAGACACACCTCATAGAAACAGACCTCATAGAGACAGACCTCATAGAGACACACCTCATAGAGACAGACCTCATAGAGACACACCTCATAGAAACATACCTCATAGAGACAGACCTCATAGAAACAGACCTCATAGAGACAGACCTCATAGAGACAGACCTCATAGAGACACACCTCATATAGACACACCTCATAGAGACAGACCTCATAGAGACAGACCTCATAGAGACAGACCTCATAGAGACCTCAAAGAGACAGACCTCATAGAGACAGACCTCATAGAGACAGGACCATCTCATAGCACATTACATTGCACACCTCATAGAAACATACCTCGTAGAGACAGACCACATAGAGACAGACCTCATAGAGACACACCTCATAGACACAGACCTCATAGACACAGACCTCATAGACACAGACCTCATAGAGACAGACCACATAGAGACAGACCTCATAGAGACACACCTCATAGACACAGACCTCATAGAGACACACCTCATAGACACAGACCTCATAGAGACACACCTCATAGACACAGACCTCATAGAGACACACCTCATAGACACAGACCTCATAGAGACACACCTCATAGACACAGACCTCATAGACACAGACCTCATAGAGACAGACCACATAGAGACAGACCACATAGAGACAGACCTCATAGAGAGAGACCTCATAGAGACAGACCTCATAGAGACAAACCTCATAGAGACAGACCTCATAGAGACAGACCTCATAGAGACAGACCTCATACAGACAGACCTCATAGAGACAGACGTCATAGAGACAGACCTCATAGAGACACACCTCATAGAGACACACCTCATAGAAACACACCTCATAGAGACAGACCTCATAGAGACAGACGTCATAGAGACAGATCTCATAGAGACAGACGTCATAGAAACAGACCTCATAGAGACAGACCTCATAGAGACAGACGTCATAGAGACAGATCTCATAGAGACAGACGTCATAGAAACAGACCTCATAGAGACAGACCTCATAGAGACACACCTCATAGAAACAGACCTCATGGAAACACACCTCATAGAGACAGACCTCATAGAGACACACCTCATGGAAACACACCTCATAGAGACAGACCTCATAGACACAGACCTCATAGAGACAGACCTCATAGAGACAGACCTCATAGAGACAGACCTCATAGAGACACACCTCATAGAGACAGACCACATAGAGACAGACCTCATAGAGACAGACCTCATATAAACAGACCTCATAGAGACAGACCTCATAGAGAGAGACCTCATAGAGACAGACCTCATATAAACAGACCTCATAGAGACAGACCTCATAGAGACAGACCTCATAGAGACCGACCTCATAGAGAGAGACCTCATAGAGACAGACCTCATAGAGACAGACCTCATAGAGACAAACCTCATAGAGACAGACCTCATAGAGACAGACCTCATAGAGACACACCTCATAGAGACAGACCTCATAGAGACAGACCTCATAGAGACACACCTCATAGAGACAGACCTCATAGAGACAGACCTCATAGAAACAGACCTCATAGAGACAGACCTCATAGAGACACACCTCATAGAGACAGACCTCATAGAAACAGACCTCATAGAGACAGACCTCATAGAAACACACCTCATAGAGACAGACCTCATAGAGACATACGTCATAGAGACAGACCTCATAGAGACACACCTCATAGAGACACACCTCATAGAAACACACCTCATAGAGACAGACCTCATAGAGACAGACGTCATAGAGACAGATCTCATAGAGACAGACGTCATAGAAACAGACCTCATAGAGACAGACCTCATAGAGACACACCTCATAGAAACAGACCTCATAGAGACAGACCTCATAGAGACAGACCTCATAGAGACAGACCTCATAGAGACCTCAAAGAGACAGACCTCATAGAGACAGACCTCATAGAGACAGACCTCATAGAGACAGACCTCATAGAAACAGACCTCATAGAGACAGACCTCATAGAGACAGACCTCATAGAGACAGACCTCATAGAGACACACCTCATAGAGACAGACCTCATAGAGACACACCTCATAGAAACAGACCTCATAGAGACAGACCTCATAGAGACCCACTCATAAGAGACACACCTCATAGAGACAGACCTCATAGAGACACACCTCATAGAAACAGACCTCATAGAGACAGACCTCATAGAGACAGACCTCATAGAGACAGACCTCATAGAGACAGACCTCATAGAGACACACCTCATAGAGACACACCTCATAGAAACACACCTCATAGAGACAGACCTCATAGAGACAGACCTCATAGAGACAGACCTCATAGAGACAGACCTCATAGAGACAGACCTCATAGAGACAGGACCATCTCATAGCACATTACATTGCACACCTCATAGAAACATACCTCATAGAGACAGACCACATAGAGACAGACCTCATAGAGACACACCTCATAGACACAGACCTCATAGACACAGACCTCATAGAGATAGACCACATAGAGACAGACCTCATAGAGACACACCTCATAGACACAGACCTCATAGAGACACACCTCATAGACACAGACCTCATAGAGACACACCTCATAGACACAGACCTCATAGAGACACACCTCATAGACACAGACCTCATAGAAACAGACCTCATAGAGACAGACCTCATAGAGACAGACCTCATAGACACAGACCTCATAGAGACAGACCTCATAGACACACCTCATAGACACAGACCTCATAGAAACAGACCTCATAGAGACACACCTCATAGAGACACACCTCATAGAGACACACCTCATAGACACAGACCTCATAGAGACAGACCTCATAGAGACACACCTCATAGACACAGACCTCATAGAAACAGACCTCATAGAGACAGACCTCATAGAGACAGACCTCATAGAAACAGACCTCATAGACACAGACCTCATAGAAACAGCAAATGTCCACGAAGAGACCAAAAAAGGGGTCAAAGAAACACAAAAACATAAAAAAATACACATAAAAAAACGTCACGAAAATCAACGTCAGGGATTTTTTTTTTAAGCGCGATTGTTGGTTTATTTAAAGATTTATTTTTCAAGATCGATTTTAGGGAAGAGGATACGGGCCACAGTCTGAATTCTGAGAAACAGATATTTCCCCTCCCAAAAAGTCTTATCATCTCAGAACAAAAAAAGAAAATCTCAGAATTCTGAATCCCAACAAAATGTGTTCATTTTTTCCCCCGAAAATCTAAGAATTCTAACGGCCCGTCCACACAGCAGCGTTAAAAAAATCTTGAAACGCTTTTGCCCATTCACTTTGAATGGGGTGACGTCACTTTCCCTCACTTTTCGCCGAACTGCATTGTGGGCAGGCGAGCGGAGATTCTCAGGATTTTGAGGATTCAAAGTTGAACAATGTTCAACTTTTGAAGCTGAGGTGGAAGCTTCAGCCAATCAAATCCCGTGTACGCAAATCTGACAGTTCAAGCTCTAGCCAATCAAACGGCGTGTATGCTGGGAGAGACATACCGCAGGTCATTTCCTCATATTCCAAAACATGGAGGAGAAATGAGCGGTAGGGAATCACCCGGTGCTTTATGACCAGTCCCTATTTACCTACCGGGATACAAACCGGAGGAGCCAGGCATGGAGGGAGGTGGCAGAGACAGTGGTATGTCTTCGCCTGTTTGGGGAGTTTATATCCAGTTTACTTCGGGCTTTTTGGCTTCGTATGTCGGGGGCGGGAGATTCATGTGATTGGTTGTTCGCAAAAAATCCCCAAGCTTCAGATACGCCCACCTCCAAGATTTTTTTAACGCTGCTGTGTGGACGGCCCGTAAGAAAAAGTCAGAATTATGAGAAAAAAAGGAAATTGTGACTTTTTTCTTTTTGTAATTACATTTTGTTCTGAATTTTCCATTCAGAACAAAGAAATATTGGCGGTACACTGCGTAAACAAATCCCTCTCCCCCACGGCATGGAAAAAGTTAAATAATAATTTTAACAAAATAGAAAATTAGGTATATCAGTCATGGAAAGAAAAAGTGTGCAATTCAGAACATTCAAATGAAAAAGAGTCTCTGTCGCCTCCCAAGGATTATCCTCAGCATTTTAGAATCGTGACTTTAATCTCAAAACTCTCCAAAAATAAATCACCTAAAGGTCAAAGCTTCACATGTGACCCTTGACCTCAGGACGTTTTAAAGTGAGTGATCAGATAGCGTGGAGAAATGATATCGTAGCATTTCCCTCCGAGTAATGCTAGAAGACTTGATGATATGAAATGAAATGAAATCTCTGATATCAACATGAGAGCCTCTTCGGGGGGGCGAACACTTAACCATAAACGTTATCCTTTACTTTCTATATGTAGACATTACTTTTCTCCCTCACGTTGTTTCTTTAGGAACTTCCTGTCAATTATTATATACGTTGTTGGAGGCGCTCAGGTCAGAAGAATCTCATTTCCACACTGAAGCTTCTGAGCATAGGATGAGACAACCTTTGAATCTTTGACTCTTTGAGGAGGAGGAGAAGCAGGAAGAGAAAACGGATCATTTCACTAAAGCGGGAGGAAACATCATCACCATTACTCACCCGCCTCACCTCCTCACCTCCTCCCCTCCTCCCCTCCTCCCTCCTCACCTCCTCCCTCCTCACCCCCATCAGTGACGTCAGCCGGCTGTATAAGAGCCGCTCTGACGGGACGCAGCAGAACACCTCCGACACACACCGTCAGACAGTCAGACACACAGACAGACAGACAGGCGATGATGAAGATGATGAAGATGGCCTCCTCCTCCTCACACCTCCTGCTGCTCCTCTCTCTCTCCGCCTCGCTCTGCTGCTGCTCAGCCACCCAGAGAGACTCCAAACTGCTGCTGCTGCACCGGAGCCCGCTCAAACAGGTACACACACACACACACACACACACACACACACACACACACACACACACACACACACACACACACACACACACACACACACACACACACACACACACACACACACACACACACACACACAAAGGTTTATTATCTGAGACGGAGGGCAAAATGACTAAAACAGAAGGAGACGTTAAAAAAGAGACACTAAACAACTGAAAAAAGGGTCAAAAGTAAGAAAAATTATTAAAAAAAACACCAACAAGAGATTCAAACGATCGATAAGGGATTAAAAAATGCCAAAAAAGAGACGCAAATAGACCAAAAATTGAAAACTATAACGACGTTTATGATCTCAGACAGAGAGCAAAGTGACTAACAGGTAGTAGGAGACAGAAGGAAACCCAAAAGGAGACAGAAGGAAACGGAAAGGAGACAGAAGGAAACCAAAAGGAGACTCCGTTAGAGCAGGTTAGGGTTAAACTGTAATCAGTGACCTCATCATCAAAATATAAAAACATGTCATTTTTCCGTTTCTTAAGTTGACGTAACCTCAGGAAAGAAGAGACCCAGATGCTGTGATCTTAAATCAGACGTACAGAGAACATGTCGTTTAGGAAATGAATGAAAAGCAAACAGTATTTTTGTTTAATAAATTACAAGTTACTTGTTAGACGCTTTTATCCAAAGTGACTTACATACTCAATACTGTGGACAATCCCCACAGGAGCACTTTGGGGTGAAGTGTCTCAGGGACACAACGACATGCTGACTGCAGTGGGGTTTGAACCTGTGCTCCCTGATCCCAACACCAAGGCTCTATCCACTGCGCCACACGCCTCCTTAAATCAGGCGTTCACTTTTAAAAAATGTTAATGAAGAAGATTGACCGCCTGACATATATGTAATCCTGCAGTAATCTGATTACACCTGGTTTTATATACCTGTCGTTAAAACCCTATAATAACTCCATAGAAACGAGCACTCACAGCTCCATGGTTCCTCTTCTGATAATAACTTCTCTCTGTACATTTACATCTGTTCCTAATCTAACGTGCCATTCTTGCTCACTAATGTAAATACTATTCAAGAGTCGAGTCTCTCTCGTCATGAGCTCCGCAGCTTCAGTGCAGATCTGGAGATGACAAACTGAAGTCTGCTCCAATGAGCAACATGGATATATACTGTATAGGTCATAGAACAGATCAAACAGATCGATAGTCATTTTTCATACATTCAGACTTCTCTCTGAAAATCAAAAAATTCAGAGTTTTTCTCAACATTTTGAAAATCTTAAAATTCTGACTTTGTTCTGAAATAAATATAAAATCCGGATTTTTTTCAGAAAAACTCAAAAATGCAGACTTTTCTCTATAAATGTAAGTTCCAAGTCTCTCACCATGTCTCAGCAGCGTGCAGGAGTCTAGCAGTCTCATTGAGGGAGGACACGGTCTCTGAGTCCGAGCGGTTTTGTCCTGTCAACTTTCAGATTTTTTAGTTCTGTTTTATCTTTTATTCTGACGAAATGTTTTTATCGTATAAATGTTTATTTTCTACTCTTCTTTATTCCTAACGACGTGCAACACGTGTTGTTCATGCTGCTGATTCATAAATGATCTCTTATCTTAATCTCCTTAATAAATCAATAATGAATATCTTTCTCAACGTGTTTAACTCCCCGTTGTTTTTATCTTTAGTTTACGTTGTTTTACATGTTGTTGTTGTTGTTGTTGTTGTTGTTGTTACTTCCCTTACTTTACTTTTAAAACATTATATTATATGATATATATTTCTTTTTCCAGGAGGTTCTTCACGACGATTTTTACACCTAAAAATGTGTATTTTTATTTATGGATTCCAACTTGTATTTGAACGTGATCAATGATATTATTACAGAAGTCTCATTGATCAGGCTTTGAGAGAAACTCAATATGGACACATTTTCAATTCAATGGTTCAAAATAAAGGCGGAGAAAACAGATATTAAAATCTGTCCCTCAGTCAAACGGTATTTATATAACCAATATATATACATATATATATATATGAACTACTTGAGTCTCAGGCTTTATGAGATGAAGTGCATCTAAATAACATACTTTTATTTTGAATTGCTCGCACTGTAGAATTTTCTTTTTACTTTTTTATCTTAAAGACTATTTTGATCAAATCCTTTCTCTGTTGATTTTTGTATTATTGTTATTAGTATTTATTACATCAGGAGTTGTCCCGGTCTTTGTCTCTGATATCTCTGATATCTCTAACATATATATGTATTGATATATTCATGAACCCCAGGAGTTGTCCCGCGCGTCGCTGGCCGAGCTGCTGCTGTCCGACCTGCTGCAGGAGAACGAGGCTCTGGAGGAGGACGGGTTCCCTGCTGCTGGAGAACCGGAGAACATCCGTTTGGATCTGGAACGCGCCGCCGCCGCCGGGCCGCTGCTGACCCCCCGGGAGAGGAAGGCCGGCTGCAAGAACTTCTTCTGGAAGACCTTCACTTCCTGTTAACCCCCCCATTCACTTCCTGTTAACCCCCCCATTCACTTCCTGTTAACCCCCCCATTCACTTCCTGTTAACCCCCCCATTAACTTCATGTTAACCCCCCCCATTCACTTCCTGTTAACCCCCCCATTAACTTCCTGTTAACTCCCCCCCCCCCCTTCACTTCCTGTTAACCCCCCCCCCCCCCCCCTGTACAGTCCGGATGTGTAGATTTTCTGAACGGAAACTGAACAACCTATTTTTAACTGTGGCTTTAATAAAATCACTTTCAGACAAAAACGCTGTTTCATTTCCAGGGGGGGGGGGGGGGGTAAAAGTACTCAGATTGTGTACTTGAGTAAAAGTAGAAGTACTCAGGTCTTGTACTTGAGTAAAAGTAGAAGTACTCAGATCTTGAGTAAAAGTAGAAGTACTCAGATCTTGTACTTGAGTAAAAGTAGAAGTACTCAGGTCTTGTACTTGAGTAAAAGTAGAAGTACTCAGATCTTGAGTAAAAGTAGAAGTACTCAGATCTTGTACTTGAGTAAAAGTAGAAGTACTCAGATCTTGTACTTGAGTAAAAGTAGAAGAACTCAGATCTTGTACTTGAGTAAAAGTAGAAGTACTCAGATGTTGTACTTGAGTAAAAGTAGAAGTACTCAGATCTTGTACTTGAGTAAAAGTAGAAGAACTCAGATATTGTACTTGAGTAAAGTAGAAGTACTCAGATCTTGTACTTGAGTAAAAGTAGAAGTACTCAGATCTTGTACTTGAGTAAAAGTAGAAGAACTCAGATCTGGTACTTGAGTAAAAGTAGAAGTACTCAGATCTTGTACTTGAGTAAAAGTAGAAGTACTCAGATCTTGTACTTGAGTAAAAGTAGAAGAACTCAGATCTGGTACTTGAGTAAAAGTAGAAGTACTCAGATCTTGTACTTGAGTAAAAGTAGAAGTACTCAGATCTTGTACTTGAGTAAAAGTAGAAGTACTCAGATGTTGTACTTGAGTAAAAGTAGAAGTACTCAGATCTTGTACTTGAGTAAAAGTAGAAGTCCTCAGATCTTGTACTTGAGTAAAAGTAGAAGTACTCAGATCTTGTACTTGAGTAAAAGTAGAAGTCCTCAGATCTTGTACTTGAGTAAAAGTAGAAGTACTCAGATCTTGTACTTGAGTAAAACTAGAAGTACTCAGATCTTGTACTTGAGTAAAAGTAGAAGTACTCAGATCTTGTACTTGAGTAAAAGTAGAAGTACTCAGATCTTGTACTTGAGTAAAAGTAGAAGTACTCAGATCTCGTACTTGAGTAAAAGTAGAAGTACCAGAGTGTAGGAATACTCTGGTACAGTAAAAGTCCTTCATTCAAAATGTTCCTCAAGTAAAAGTATAAAAGTATTCTCATCAAAATATAGTTAAAGTAGCGACAGTAAAAGTAGTCATTGTGCAGATTGGTCCATTTCAGAATAATATATATGATATGTTTTATAATGATTGATCATGAAAGTGTTCTCAAAGCTGGTAAAGGTGCAGCTAGTTTGAATGACTTTGTATACTGCAGGGTAGCTTGTGGATTTACTCCAGGTGGAACTAAAGTCTGATTTAACACTTGATTATATTTCACATCATTCATCCACATCTGTGAAGTAACTAAAGGTATAAGTACATGATGTAGTGTAGTGCTATTAGTACCAGAGAGCATGCATGTTGTGGCAGGACCACCCACACAGAAGCATACGGACATAGGTTACTATATAAAAAGTGTCCAAATAACTACAGAAGGCTTACAGAGAATATGGTTTTGTCTATGATTGTATACATGCGAAAAGCTGAATATAAAAATAATTTTGAAAAAGAAAAGTGTGCAAATGTATTTAGTCCTATCCACTTTGAGAGCAACATGGAGAGATCTATGGATACCTCTCTCAACCCCAATATGAAACAGACCTGGACAAAGATTGTCTTTTTCTTTATGGATATTTTACAAATCACTCTCCTTTCAAACTGTATTCTTGTTTTACTGTCATACAGTATTTCATACCTGTTTTTCATTTATTCTCTTATAAAAAAAGATGTGTTATAACTATAATGATCATATGAAGGTGTGCCTCGGAAATACTTGTTTACTTAAATCGTGACCAAACCGTTTGAGACTGAGATAACTTAGACTAAAGTTAACTATCTAAACACTGAGAGAGTCCTTTACCTCATTGAGCTGTAGTTATCAGAACCTCTCAGTCTGAGCTGTAGTTATCAGAGCCTCTCAGCCTGAGCTGTAGTTATCAGAGCCTCTCAGTCTGAGCTGTAGTTATCAGAGCCTCTCAGTCTGAGCTGTAGTTATCAGAGCCTCTCAGCCTGAGCTGTAGTTATCAGAGCCTCTCAGCCTGAGCTGTAGTTATCAGAGCCTCTCAGACTGAGCTGTAGTTATCAGAGCCTCTCAGTCTGAGCTGTAGTTATCAGAGCCTCTCAGTCTGAGCTGTAGTTATCAGAGCCTCTCAGTCTGAGCTGTAGTTATCAGAGCCTCTCAGTCTGAGCTGTAGTTATCTCTCTCAGTCTGAGCTGTAGTTATCTCTCTCAGTCTGAGCTGTAGTTATCAGAGCCTCTCAGTCTGAGCTGTAGTTATCAGAGCCTCTCAGTCTGAGCTGTAGTTATCAGAGCCTCTCAGTCTGAGCTGTAGTTATCAGAGTCTCTCAGTCTGAGCTGTAGTTATCAGAGCCTCTCAGTCTGAGCTGTAGTTATCTCTCTCAGTCTGAGCTGTAGTTATCAGAGCCTCTCAGTCTGAGCTGTAGTTATCAGAGCCTCTCAGTCTGAGCTGTAGCTATCAGAGCCTCTCAGTCTTAGCTGTAGTTATCAGAGCCTCTCAGTCTGAGCTGTAGTTATCAGAGCCTCTCAGTCTGAGCTGTAGTTATCAGAGCCTCTCAGTCTGAGCTGTAGTTATCAGAGCCTCTCAGTCTGAGCTGTAGTTATCAGAGCCTCTCAGTCTGAGCTGTAGTTATCAGAGCCTCTCAGTCTGAGCTGTAGTTATCAGAGCCTCTCAGCCTGAGCTGTAGTTATCAGAGCCTCTCAGTCTGAGCTGTAGTTATCAGAGCCTCTCAGCCTGAGCTGTAGTTATCTCTCTCAGTCTGAGCTGTAGTTATCAGAGCCTCTCAGTCTGAGCTGTAGTTATCAGAGCCTCTCAGTCTGAGCTGTAGTTATCAGAGCCTCTCAGCCTGAGCTGTAGTTATCTGAGCCTCTCCACCTTGTTGTTGTAACAGGTTCTAATGTCTGTTAAAGCAGCTAGCTAGCACCAGATGCTAACAACAACCGGTGCGCGCTCTCTCTCTCGCTGGCTCACTCACACAAAAAGCGCTCGTGCCACACACACACACACACACACACACACACACACACACACACACACACACACACACACACACACACACAGAGAGAGAGCCGAGCTTGAATGAAACACAGAAACCCATGAGTACTTGTACTGTATCATATTATTTGGCTTTATTGTATGATCATGTGAGAGATGAGCATATCGCAACTGAGCTTACAACTAAAGACACAGCTACGCAAAAAACTGTGGCATGTGTACGGCTCCTTCTGGGTATTGGAATTTTTGAAGTGCCGGCAGCTCTACACCACTGGTTAGAATACATATATATTATGGATAGTACTGGAGCCTATCACATAGGAATCTGGACTTGAACCGGTGCCCCCTGCAGACCGAGACACTGCCACTCTAACAGAGAGGGTAAGTTATCTATACCATTAAAAGGTCTAATACATCATTGATCATATTTATTAAAGATGCTCTTTTCTGTGTGTGTGTGTGTGTGTGTGTGTGTGTGTGTGTGTGTGTGTGTGTGTGTGTGTGTGTGTGTGTGTGTGTGTGTGTGTGTGTGTGTGTGTGTGTGTGTGTGTGTGTGTGTGTGTGTGTGTGTGTGTGTGTGTGTGTAGCAGCTGCTGCACTCAGATTAGCAGCTCCTTTCACCCATTAACTATTTGTTAAGAAAAGCTTTCAGGAATTAAACCTCATTGACAGCAGATGATTGGCAGGACACACACACACACACACACACACACACACACACACACACACACACACACACACACACACACACACACACACACACGAGTGCCTCTTCAGAAAGGGGTTTCAACTTTCGAAAAGTGCTGGAAATATTAAAGTCATGGTACTCATCTTTTGTACTTGTGTTATAATGAAATGACTTCTACTCCATTAGATCTCAGGAGTATGGAAGCCACTATTGTTGTTAGAAACTCACGTAAAATGATTCATGGTCTTATTTTAACAATGTGATCACATGACTCCTTCCGATGTTGCTTTATAAACACAACTTATCTTTTTTTTTGCTTCTTTTAGTCGCCAACATTCATTTCATTTCATTTTTTTGGGAATCAACTTCTTCTTTAAAGGTCTCCTATTATGCTATTTTTAGGCATATATTATGAGTCTCAGATATATACAAATATATAAAAAACATGTCTATGAAGTGTTTTGCTCAAAATACCAAACAGATCATGACTTTTAGAAATCCCTCATTTCCTCTGTTTCAGGCCTGTTAGAGAAACGCTGATTCTGGGTCCTTAGCTTGAAAAAAAGAAAAAGAGGAGAGGGAGCTAATGCCTGATCAGAATTAGCAACGTTTCTGATTGGCCCGTGGGTGTAAAGCCCGCCCACATTTTAGTAATGTCGTCATGACGCAGCAAATCTGGATCAGCTCCGCTGTTCCCCCGTTTTTAGAGATGTGGGTACGGAGGAAAAGAGAAAGGGGTTTATTTCCTGACACTTTGAGAGTCTCCTGACACACCGGGGACACACCGGGGACACACCGGGGACACACCGGGGACACACCGGGGACACACCGGGACACACGGGGACACACCGGGGACACACCGGGGACACACCGGGGACACACCGGGGACACATGGGGGACACACGGGGGACACACGGGGGACACACCGGGGACACACCGGGACACACCGGGACACACCGGGGACACACGGGGGACACACCGGGGACACACCGGGACACACACCGGGGACACACACCGGGGACACACCGGGACACACCGGGGACACACCGGGGACACACCGGGGACACACCGGGGACACACGGGGGACACACGGGGGAC